AACCTCTGGGGGCACCCATATTTGTGTGCATATACACCCTTCCCAAATACACATAATTTAAAAAAATCTTGGTATGTTTTGCTTGTTTGTTTGTTTTTTGAGACAGGGCTTCTCTGTGTAGCTTTGGAGCTTGTCCTGGAACTCACTCTGTAGACCAGGCTGGCCTCAAACTCACAGAGATCTGCCTGCCTCTGCCTCCCGAGTGCTGGGATTAAAGGCCTGTGCCACCCCCCCCCCCAAACTTCGAAGTTCATTCTTGACACTGAAGTTGTATGAAGCGTGATCCTAATTAGTCTTAACAATAAACACCCTGCCAGGCAGTGGTAGCACACACCTTTCATCCCAACACTCGGGAGGCAGAGGCAGGCGAATCTCTGTGAGTTCGAGACCAGCCTGGTCTACAAGAGCTAGTTCCAGGACAGGCTCCAAGCCACAGAGAAACTCTGTCTCAAAAAACCAAAAAACAAAACCAAAAGCAAAAACAATAAATACCCAGAGTCAGATATCAAGGGTGAAAGCTGAAAGATCAGAGAAGCAGAACAGCCAACCACTAGAGACTTCTTACCTCTACTAAATCCTCTGACCGAAACGGCGGATCCTGTATCTATGAACCCTTAGACTGAATGGGGCCAGATCCTCTGGCCACCCACCTTATGTTCCTGTTTCCACTTCCCTAGTGCTAGGATTAAAGGTATGTACCACCACCGCCATTTCTAAAGCTTTGACAATAAGTTAATAATTTCTAGTTAATTTGTTGTCTGTCTTTTTGCATTCAAATCCTAAAATAAGCTTGCATACCTAAACCTATACTCAACTCACACGCTCACTAAATGATTGAGACTAAAATTAGCATGGATCAATAAAATTCACAGTTAGAAGGGTCTGGGGGAAATAAAGATCCACAAACAATGTGACATTAGTATTTATTAATATTGAAGCAATCTGATTTTTCCTTCAGTCCTAGTGACCAAATCCAGCACCTTGTGGGTGATGAGCGATCAACAATGATTTCTTTGCATGTAGTAAGGTTCATAACTGAAACCACATTCCAAGAATATGATTGAAATACTGATTTATTTTAAATAACCGTATGTGAATAATTTACAAAAGTGCACACCACCACTCACAAATATGAACACATGTACACAAGAAATAAAAATTTAGAAATAAGCTTACCAGGTTCACGTGGGCAGTCACTCTTCTTCTGAAGTCCTGCAGCTTTCTTTTCACATGAACTTGTCTTCCTACATTCCACACATGCTATTTCAATTATCATCATTTTCTTCCCCCCCTCCCTCCCTCCCTCTCTCCCTCTCTTCCTATCCGAGGAGTCCTATTGACAAGGTCATTTAGTCCAGAAAAATCTAACTCATTCATGACCACTCCTTCATTTCCAGTTTATCAATTCTGTTATTTCAATCTCCAAAAATGTATCTTGAATTTATTACCTTTTTATGTCTTTTGTTTTCTTACCACAATCAGAGTAACCATATGGATGACTGAAATATTCTCTTAATTAGTTGCTCCAATTTAATTCTTGTCTTTCTCCAATTCATTCTCAACATAGCAGAGTGATCTATTTTTGAAAATGTATAAAACCGATTTATATAAATAACCATAAATCAATGCAACAATTTCTGAAGAAAGTTATGTTTCTTCTCCTTTCCCTTCCAGTCACAATTCTCTCAAGACTCTAACTACACATTACATATTAGATGTGGGTGGCTATTTGAATGTAATTGCCCTCCCCCCCAAACACATAGGGAGTGGCATTATTAGGAGGTGTGGCTTTGTTGGAGTGTGTATGGCCTAGTTATAGGAAGTGTGTCACTGTGGAGGTGGATTTTTGGTTTCCTATGCTCATGATAGGCATAGTGTTTCAGTCAACTTCCTGTTACCTTCTGATCAAAATGTAGCCTGCACCTTGACTGCCTGCAATACCACCATGTTCCCCACCATGAGCTATGGACTGAACCTCTGAACTGCAAGCCGCACCTCAATGACATGTTTTTCTTTATAACAGTTGCTGTGGTCATGGTGTCCGTCACAGCAGCAATGTGCATGAATCCTGTAATTTTTTTTTCTGTGATTTTTATAGAAACATATTCCTGGGGTTGAAGAGTTGGCTCAGTAGTTAAGGGCACATACTAGTTTTCCTACAAAAATGGGGAAACTGTTCCTTATAATTTCATGTGAATAGCCATTTTATGTCTCTGATGACTTTAAAATGTCCCATCACAGATGAAAGTCCTGTTTATGAGTATCTGAACGCAACTTACACCCAATTATCTAAGGTCTATCTTGTTTTTACAAATGAACACAGAGTTGCTGGGCGGTGGTGGCGCATGCCTTTAATCCCAACACTCGGGAGGCAGAGGCAGGTGAATCCCTGTGAGTTCGAGGCCAGCCTGGTCTACAAGAGCTAGTTCCAGGACAGGCTCCAAAGCTACAGAGAAACCCTATCTTGAAAAAAAAAAACCCAAAAACCAAAAACCAAATGAACACAGAGTTGTTTGTGGTTTTAGTTCCAACAAATAACGAGTACGTTAGGGAACTATCATGGAGTAACTAAGGATAGATTGGAGAACAAAAACACACCCACGCCTGTTAGTGTTTACAGCTTTCATATACGTGGGGATTTTGATCTAAATGCTAGCAAATGATGAATTTGTTATATTTTTAGAACAATCATGTTTATGGAAACATTGGTAATTTTACTATATATTAGTTTGTAACTTTTCTATTTTTATCTGTGAAGATTGAGCTCAGGGCTTTGCACCAGGCAGGTACTTTACCACTCAGCTACGTCCCCAGGCTTTAATTATGATTTTTTACTTTGAGACAAGATCTCATAGCACTATGTCCAAATGTGTGATTCTTTTTAATTTTTTAAATTTTTTTTTCTGGTAATTTCATATGCATATACATAGGTTTGGGTCATTTTCATTACCATCCCCCCCCCCCCCATTAACCTCTTTCATCTCTCCCCTACACTAACTGAAACCCTGTCTGGTTCCCCTTTTTTTGGGTAATTATTTTTGAGAAAAGGTATCTCTCACTACATAATCCTGGCTGGCTTTGAACATGCTGTAAGACCAGGCTGGCTTTGAATTCTTAGAACGCACAGAAATCCATCTGCGTCTACTTCCTGAATGCCGGGCTTAAAGGTGTGAACTACAAATTCAAGACCACCCTGAGTTACATAAGGAGCTACTGTGTAAAATTAAAAAAACTTATTTGTTCGTTTCACTATTTTGTTTATCTAGTGAAGAATTATAATATATATAATACACAGTATATATACACTAATGATCATATTTAAAAAATATATGTGCCACCTGTATGGAATATTTAGACATTTAAGTACCTGAAGATGAATGCAAATGATTTTCCTAGCTTTTCAGTTAATCATCTTATATGATTTTGTAACTTCAAATTCAGTTAAGTATGAATTTATTACTAATTCTTCACTAAAATTATTGACCCTAATAATTTATGTGCAGTAGTGGCACATACCTTTAATCCCCGCACTTGGGAGGCATCGGCAGGCGAATCTCTGTGAGTTCGAGGTCAGCCTGGTCTACATGAGTTCTAGGACAGCTGGAACTGTTGCAGAGAAACCTTGTCTCGAAAAACCAAAAACCAAACCAAACCAAACCAAACCAAACAAAAACCAAAACTAAACAACAACAACAACAACAACAAAAACCAACCTACAAAAACTATTAACTCTAGCTTAAGTGAAAATGGAACCATAGAAAAATTATTTTAAAAAATGAAATGAGGGCTTCTCACTAAAAGTTTTCGATTTTACAACTTCAATTTCTTTCCTTACTCTGCCCTTTTCTGTTTTAAATCCTCCCTCCCGCCTTTTGCTTTCAGGCCTCAAGTGTGCCAGACCCTGTGCTACCACTGTGGTATATTCACAGTCGCATCCTGGATTTGAGAATTCGTTTCCTTTCGCTTCTCCAAACCCCAGCACGTGCACACACGCTGGAATGGGAACTGGAGATCTGTGCTTTGCTCACTGTTGTATGTTCCCAGCATATGGCACAGGGCTGGGTACCAAGGAGGAGCTCAGTATTTGTACGAATGGGTGAAGAATATACAGGCAATAAACAGAATCGACCGCCCCGGGAGCGCCACCTACAACAGAGTTCTAGGAGGCAACCAGGTAAGCGCTGTACATTGACCGATTTTGCTATTTAGGATTTCTTGGTGCTGGAACCGGCTGCGGTTGGTTTACATTCTTTGGGACGTGTTTATTTGTGCAGTTTGCGAACCTGACGCACACAGCTGTGCAGGCTGGACTCGCAGCCCACAGGAGTGTGCAGTAAAGTCCGCTTACTGTTCCGCATCAGCAACACACGCTGCTCCGACGGCATGAATTCTCTTGGGAAATAGGCATCTGGCAATTCAGGAAATTTCTTCACCGGCGATTTTGCCGTGAGGATGAGATCAACCCTGCTGGTGGCAGGAGGCACAAAGACCGGGAAACGAACGCTCACTTTTCCAAACAGTACCAAGTCCTCACTCTAGGATCAAATCCCGCGCTCTTGCAATCCTCAACCTGATTCTACCTCCACGACGCCCCCGTAGGATACCTAACTATGGAGGGCGGGGCAGATAAGACACGTCCCTACTCCCTCCAAATCAGTTAAGTTTCGTAGAGCTTTGGTTTCCTACATTTCAGCAAACATTAATAAAAACCGCCGACCACATGACACACTAGCCACACACGCCGGCAGAGGAGGAAGCAAAACAAGAAGAAAGCCGGCGCTCCAGGAGCCACGTGAGGTACGAGCTCCCGAGCGCCCTCTCCACGGATGACTTCAATTCCCGGCCTGCCCCGGGGCGCTTGCTCTCCGAGGACTACAACTCCCAGGGTGCAGCGGAGTAGTCCTCCGCAACCTCCCACTCGGTCTCCTGCCGCTAGACCCGCCCCTCCCCCCGCCCCTCCCAGCCGGATCGGCAAGCGCCTGCGCACCGGAGACCGGAGGAGTCTTACCCTAATGTAAGATGGTGGCCCGTCTGGCTGTGGAACCCACCGAAAGCTGAGAGTCTCTCTCTCTCTCTCTCTCTCTCTCTTAGCCGTAAAGGTCGGACTCAGTGAAGCAGTCAGGCCCGGTTTTGAAGAGTTTTTTTCGCCGACTCTGGTTCACTGGTCTCCTGTGAGGACGCGGCTGCGCGTGGAGTCGGCTTAGGGAAAAGCGAGGCAAGACAGGCGGGTGAGTGTCTGCGGGGCTGGGCTTAGGGGAAACCCGGGGCTGACCGGCTACGAGAGAGCGGAGGCTTCGCTGGGACTGTGCAGGCCGCACCCCCCTTTCTCCCCACCCCCCGCCTCGCCTTCACCCTCCTCCTGCTCCCGCTGCCTCCTCCTCCTCCTCCTCTTCCTCCCTCTCCCCTCTACGCCACAGCAGTTACCACCAGGAAAAGGCAGCCAGGCTGGAGGCAGCGCGGCGGCGGGCGCCGGCTCTCCTTCGAGAATTTCTTCAATTGAGGAGCCGAGAGGTCTTCTCATCGCCAGCTATTCCCGCATTTTTCTGGCAACAGTGTCCTTAGGTCTCGGTCCTCCTTGGTTCCCCAGCCCCCTTTCCCCTCTGACGTCCTTTCCAACTGGCCCTGATCTCTCAAGCCAGAACCATCCTTCTACTCTGACCGGTGCTTCTGCTTATTGCCCACCGGTCCTGCTTGGTGCTTGGGTTTTTTCTTTTTCTTTTTCTCTCTCTCTCTCTCTCTCTCTTTTTTTTTTTTTTTTTTTGCCCCTCTCTCCACTGATGTTGCCCTGGATCTAGCCTCTGCCGCCCCCCCCCCCAGGGCGTGCAGTCAGCCCCCAGTCTGTCTGCCAGACCCGAGCTGATTCCGACGTGCCGTCTCCTTTTAGTCACATCTGTCATATAAAGCCACCCCGTGAGTATCGAAATTGTGTTGCCGCTCCGTTGCTCCGTGTAACCCACCTGTTTCTCAACCTTCTTGCGAAGAGTCGATTCCTTCCCTCTCTCCTGTACAGAGAGCCTTTCCACACACACTTCCAGAAGAGGGGAGATGCCCCTTGTTGTTCCTTGAAAAGTAAAGGAAGTTGGGAAGTGAATGACGTGAGGTAGGATACTGTTAGGGTCAAGAGAGAAGATCTTTCTGCAGGCTACTCAGAGAAATGTTTTGCATTGTGCGATCTTTCTGCTGCTCCTTCGCTCTGTTGGCCCATGGTTTTTTACCCTTCTTTTCATTTTCGGCCTTCTCCTTGCCACCCAGCCTTCTCCTGAATTGCCTTTCCTCAGGACACTTGATGTGGACGCTGATTATACCCGTAAAGAACAGCTTAGCATTTCAAAACAAGATGAGTCTGGCACACACACATAGAATTCCTCCGAACACTGCATGCAAATACAAATGGTATTTTGATTATATGCGGGTAGCGGATTCCTTTTGAGAATAGGTTATTACCTGCGTTATATTGATGTTTAGGTTAATTGATAACATCTATTTGTGATTTGGGTGGAGATTTCCTTTCTGGCTAAGTGTAAATTGAGTTGTTTTGTTTTTTTTTTTCCTCTTGATCTGGGAAGTTCCCTCTTTTGACATTTCAAGGATAGGCGTTATCTGTCTTAAGTTGTATGGAAATATACATTGAGTTTGTATGCAAGCAAGAAGTTGATATTTTGGGGGGTAAACTTAAATTCCTTATTTTTTCTCCATAGAAGAGAAGTCATAAAGCTGTGCACATACAGTAGCACTTAGCTGTTATCTCCTATAGTAAGAACAAGAACTGCAAGAGTGAGGGTGACTTACAGTCCATAGTTTAGTGAACGCAGAATTGAGATGTTTAGTTTGTATAAAGAGAAGCCAGAGCCTTTGCTGTAATACATCACAGTGAAAGAAGAATTACCAGAAAGACAAATAGGATTATGTAGGTCAGATACACACATGTCATGTTTGAACATAACATATTGTGTTCTTACTATATATGTATCTAGGTGGTGGTGGCACACACCTTTAGTCCCACACCTGGGAGGCAGAGACGGGGGAATCTCGATGAGTTCAAGACCAGCTTGGTCTACAGTGCAAGTTCCAGGACAGGGCTACACAGAGAAACCCTGTCATGAAAGACAATGTTTGTTTTGCAGTATATATGTTTTGCTTTGTTTTATTTTGTTTTGTATGTATACATACACATAGTATGTGAAAGTAAAGTCACAGTAACAATCTCATGCAGTTTGTCTCTTATTGGAAAAACCAGTAATGCTTTACATGTAAATACAAATGCGATTCCTCTAGACATGTTTGCATATTTCTGGGTTATTGTAAGTTTTACATATTTTACCTATAAAATTTTGAGTATTCTCGCATTTGGTGTTACATTGTTACTCTGAAAAAGTCTTTAAAAAATGTAAACAATGGTTAGAAAAGCTGCTCATAAAGCTTGCTTTGCTTCTTTCTGTTTTTCGTTTTCCTTTTCTTTTCTTTTTCTTTTTTTTTTTTCTGAGACAGGGTTTCTCTGTGTAGCTTTGGAATCTGTCCTGGCACTAGCTCTTGTAGACCAGGCTGGCCTCGAACTCACAGAGATCGGCCTCTACCTCCTGAGTGCTGGGATTACAGGTGAATGCCGGGATTAAAGGCTAGTGCCATCACTGCCTGGCTTCTTTTTCTTTTTTTCTTGAATCAGGGTTTTTATGTAGTTCTGACTGGCCTGGAACAAGCACTGTAGATCATGCTGGCCTTGAACTTGTAGAGATCTGCCTGTCTTTGCCTTCTGAGTGCTGGGTGTGCTAGCACTCCCAAGTCTGGCTAATGCTCCTTTTTTTTCCTTTTAGCTACTTAAGCCCTTATTTGGCAACACTCAATAAATCTCTATTTTTCTGAGACTTGGAAGCAATTTATATTGCAGAACTTGTCTTTCCTTGAAGGTTTTTTTCTTTTAAAAGAAATAACTTTTCATTTACTTTATCAATACCTTGTCTTCAACTCCAAGTAAAAAATAGATGCTGGTAGAAAGCTTGCCACTTTGAACAATCTTGTCTAGATTCTCTTGGCAGTCATACTTGGCTGAATGTAAGCAGTATGTTCTAAGGAGAGGACTCTTTGTCTGATAGAAGGGGTGATTGAGTTTTTAATACATCTTCTCTTTTGTAAAAGTATTTGCCTCACTAAATATCTTGTTTTTTTTCTCCTCTGGGGTCATTAAATTCTTCTAGCCTTTTGAAATAAAAGTGAATTTATTGGAATCTTTAGAATGTCTAGAGAAGATGTAAAAGTTCTTTGGCACATTGATAGGAAGTAAACCGAATTTTATAAATGTTTTTGTGTAGATTTGTAACATTTTCAACATGGCAGCTTCATACTTAATGATTTCCTTTGATAATTTGGAATTCTTTATGCCAAGTTAAATAATTGAAGTCTGCAAGTGAAGTGTTTGTGTAAGATTTTTAACATGAGTTACTTGAAGTTGACTTACCATATAATTTCCCAGAAAGTTGCATAGACAAACCTTTAATTTGATTATGATGAGAGTCAAACAGCAAAGTATAAAATAAAATTGTTTTGTGATATTTGTCAACTTCATTTAAATGGAAATGCTAGAGATAACTTGCAACCCATTACTTTGGTTTTGTTCTGAAACAAGGTCTTTATTCTGTAGCTCAGACTATCCTGGCCTGTAGCATAGCTGCCTTGAAACACAGGGCCACTCCTGCTCCAGCGTCTTTAGGCTGGAGTTACAGGTGTGAGCTACCATGTAACCAGTCCTGGATAACTCAGTAAAAAGATAGAAGCTGTTGCCGAGGGATGAGTTAGCATTAGGGGAGTTTTACATTTATTTTTGTGGTACTAGGCTGGAACACGGAGGCTCCTGAATGCTAGACAGTAGTTTTTAGGGAGTTTTATTGTAAAAAGGATTTTGTCTTAAGAGAATGAAAAACCAGTTTGGTTTTAGAAGCTTTTCTTTTTTCCCTCCCTACTCCTTGTTTTAAAATGAAGATACACTCTTCATTTTAATGATTATTTAAAAAATATGACTGCAAGTAATACTGTTTTTGTAGAATGTGTGAGATAGGTTAAATTTGCGAAAGCCTCAATCTCTGCTGAAAATTTAAATAGTTCTGTCACTACCTCTAATATTTCCTTGACTTTTTGGCAAGGAAGTTAGAGTGAACTAAGTTGGTTTTGAAACAAAAACAGTAGGGAAATAGGTTATAGGGGTTTTTGCTGTTCTAGAAACAGAATAACTAGAATGTACTACATACATTTCCCAAAGGATTTCTTAATCTAAATGGAACTTGTAAATGGTTTTCATCCCACAGGAATAGGATGTATCAGATAAAACTTTGTAACACATTCTAACATTTTATAAATTGTATATTCCCTTAGAGTTATTGGGAAACGTCTACAAATACCCATTCTTGAAAAGAAAGTTATGGTAATCCTGGTAACTTAAAGATTTAATGTATTTTTTTCTCAAAAGTTGAGACTACATGAATTATGATAGCGTAATATACTTCTTTGATCAAGTTGTGGGTATTTACACATTTTATTTCAAAATTTTAATCTCATTTTATAGATTTGAATTTTCTTTTGGCAGACTTTCTCTGTGTAACAGCTCTGACTGTCCTGGAACTCCCTTTGTAGACCAGGCTGGCCTGGAATGCACAGTGATCCTCCTGAGTGCTGGGATTAAAGGCTTTTACCACCATGCCCAGCTAATTTTGTAGAGTTCTTTAGTTGAAAGACTGTGTAGTAAGTAAAATACCAACTTTTTCAAATGTTGTAATGTAGTGAGTTCTCCCACGTTATTCTTTCCTAATTAAAAAATGGCTCTCTGTGCGCAGAGAACAACTTCAGGTGGCAGCTTTAGGGATGGGACAGAGTTTCTCATTCTTGAAATGCACCGATTAGGCTAGATGGGCTCTCCTTGAAAGCATAGGGTTCCCCAGTCTTTATCTAGTCAGGGCTGGCATTTCAAGTGCATTCCATGCCCAGTGAGTTTTGAGGATAGAACTCAAATCCTCAAACTTGTAGAACAAAAGCCATGTAAGCCATCCTCTCCCACCCTGGTTGTTTAAGTTTTGTGGGTTTTTGTTTATTTGTTTGTTTGTTTGGTTTGATGTCCTGACACTCCCCACCTCCTGCGCCCAAAGTTGTTTATGGGTGATTTCGACATTTTTTTGGCCCCTGACATTTTTGTTTTGTTTAGTTTTTCCATGCTAAGGAACACATTTCTGGCCTTGCCTATATG